CTCAAATGTATTTTAAAGCAAATTCCAGATTTCTTGCCATCTAACCCCTATGTATTTCCAAATATATTTCTGAAAAATATGGTTATCTTACATAATCACAGTACCATATCACATGTAATAAAACTTAAAATAATTCCAATTGCTTGGCATCATTTGGCATTAAGTATCACCTAGATACGAAATACTTTGGAATAATCTAGTTTTTGAGGTAAGAATTAAAAAATTGTTTCTTAGACAACCCTTTATGGGTCTTGGAATTACTTGAAATTCTGTTCCTTTAAAAAGTCGAGATCCAGACACCAAATTCTGATTCCTTAATTATAAACTAACTTGATCTTCACATCTTGATTTTGGAAGCATAAAACAACTCCTGTTCTGCTCTCCAGTGTGTTCAAACCTAAGTTGCTCATTCTGTGCCATTGATCCATTTAATTTTTAAATTGTTACAACTTCCTTATAATGCTAATTGCCTACAATTCTGTTAGTGATTCTGAAACCTTTAACAGGTGGAAAATTTAGGAATAGTAGTCTGTTAAATTTTCCGCACCTGTCACTCTTATCAATAAGACAAAAATCCCAAACTAAAAATCCCACAAGAATTCATGGAAAAATGACCTTGTTTATGATATTTTTCTGCATCGTATATATAATATCTTTACTTGTTTTTTTCTTAATATGTTAGAGTTTGTTTTTAGTTGGAAAGAATGAGGTATGTATAATACCTAAATAAAGCTAATGTCTGGTGTCTTCATTTTATATTTCCTGAGTGAATTTAGTACAATTACGTTTTTCCAGTTAATACCCAACATTTATCTAAAGCAACTCTTCATTCTGGGAGATTCAGTTACTAATTCGATTAAGAATAATTTTCCTGTAGAAATTTTTGTATTCAATTGCAATAAGAGTATCTTCAACCTGCACACACACTGGAGAGAGCACTTTCCTTTTATGACTTTGCATAAAATTTGTCAGTGAGCAGGAAAGAGGCTGGAAAGTACAGCAGTGTTCCTAAGTGGATTGGTATGTAGAGGATAAGAGAGTTATGGCAGGAGTGCAAATGGAGAAGTGAGAGTACTGACATGTTACAATTTTTTAGAATATGGATTTGTCAAACAAGTGATTTGTAAAGTGGTTATCAATCGCCCAGACCAGCAGTGGTCCTTATGCGGAGGTGGTTGGAAATTACCACGTTGGTCAGGTATGCAGGTGACCTGTTTATATTTAAGTCATTATTAACTACATCTTTCTATTTAACAGTTTCTGTTAAAACAATTGATGTTGGACAAGAATAAACAGATCTATAGAAGAGAGCAGTCTAGAAACGCTCTCATATACAGCCTCCCTATTAGATTTATTTAGAGAATACTCATCTTTTTATTTTTTAGTACTTTCTAATATCATCAGGTGTACCTGGGCAATGGCACTGCTTTCTGAGAAGATTAAATTGTGATTGATGGAACTATTGACACCTTGTTCTTTATTTTTAGTAAAACTTTACTGCTGAGATACTGTGTTTCTGAACTGCAAAGCAGTGTTAGTTAACCACAGTAGTTTAAAAAAATTCTTTAAGTTAAAAACACTCACCTTTGCACCATATATGGTAGACTCAGTCATTCAAAACATAACAAATTTCTACATTCAGTTTTCAGGACTTTTGTTCCAAGTTTAATCAAGGCAATAAGGCCTCAGAACTACACAGTGTTTTTGGAGTACAGTTTCTGCCTTAGCATATTTTTAAAACTAATGCCTAATTAATAACAGTTTGGAAATATTACTTTATTTAGACATAAAATTTAGTAGCATCTCACCACAAACTTTGACAAGCTAATATACTTTAGGGTTTTCACAGAACAAGATAAATTGGCATAATTTTGGTGGGATTTGCTGAGATAAGCTTTATTACTATTAAGAAAAACACATTTATACAGCCTGGAGTGAACATTTGCATATGATTTGGAATTCCAGAACTCTTTTCCCATATCAATTTTCCATATTTACACATGCACTGGAAGACTTTAAAAAAATTTTTTTTAAATCTTAAAATTCAGTAACGTCCAATATTTGGTAATTAATACCTTATTTTATAAGGTATCAAGGTACTTTACTTTTTTAAAAGTGTGTTTTTGGAATATGTAATACATGCTTATGGCAAAAACAAAAGGTACAGAAGAGTACACGGTTAAAAGACTCCCTTTCCACAACAATGTGAGTATACTGGGTACTAAAGTGTGCATTTAAAAATGCTTAAGGTGGGAAAAAACCTCAGTGAGTTATACAGTTATGTCTGTACACTTTTCTGTATGTTCTATACTTCAATAAAATAGCTTATTGAGACCAATAAAAGACTCCCTCTTACCTTCAGCCCTCAACCATCTAGTTACCCTCCCGAATGCAACCACGGTGACCAGTTTGCTATGTAGCTTCCTAGGGATGTGTTCCATACATTTATAAGCATATATACGTGAATTTTTTACACAGACGGAGATATAGATCTTGTTAATCCTTCCATGTCAGCACATAAACATCTGCCTTGCTCTTTTAAAGGTCGCATAATATTCCATTTACATTCTTTTAAAAGTGCTGAAAAGTTTTTGATGGCTCTTTTCCTATCCTTTTTAGTTATCGTTCCATCAGTCAGGAAAGAATGTCTGCGGGCTGATTTTGGATAGTGGATTGAGCGAGAGAGAGATGTTCCTTTTCTACAAGAAGCTTTTAATCTAACAAAAGACAAACAATAGTTTCTGTATGTTATTTTATTATCAATAGTCAGTAGCAAGACTGTTTTTAACTTGAATTTTAAAAAATTTCCCCTTTGACTCTCAATAGTGGTGACCTATGCCTTCCTTTTGAGGGAAAGAAAAGAAAGTAGAAAAGAAGATAGTGAAGAGTACTTAAAAGAAAAATGATAAAATAGTTTGAATAGTCAATACTACTGAAAAGTGCTGGAATGGGATTAGAGCTGACAAACGTAAATGTGTACTTTCCTACTTACATTGGCTCAGTTGCAGAAAACAAAATTTCCTGACTTTAGGCGGAAAAGAATTTATTACAGGGCTTTAAACAGCTTAGAGAATCTTTGTGATGGCCTAAGAAACAGACTGTAGATTGAACTTTCAGGAATGACTCCCAAAGCCACATCAGAGGTCCGGACCACAAAGGGAGCAGTGGCCACTTCTCGCACTAGGAATTGTTGAATTGGGAAATTGCTGCTACTGCTGCTAACTCTAAAGTCATGGTGTACCTTTGGGGACCCATACCAGCAAAATGGATTTCCCTTGTCTGGCCCCCAGTACCCATAAGCTCTCGTGATGGACTTCCGATAACACTGCTACAGAAAGACTGTGTACCTCTGTGATCATGCTTACCAAATAAGAGAAGTACTAGTACTTACAGACTCTGCCACACTTCTACTTTCCAGTTCTCAAATAATGGCCCATAACTGGCCGAACCTAAGTCCAGAAACTTTGCTGCAGTAGAATCTAGGAAACTAAATCTTAAACTTTCTAGTGTCTGCAGTGTAGAAAGGCACATCAAAAGGAGACTGAAATGGATTAAATGTGAAAAACTTTAGAGATGTCAGAGGATAGTGCATTCATTTTGAAAAAAACTAACCAGAGATACCAGAAATTAAAATTTTGATTTTAAAATGAAAAAAAAAATAAGTAGAATTTTCACTATCAAAGACTAAATTAGTAACCTGGGAAACTGAGCCAAGGCATTTCTTCCAATATGTAGGACAAAATCATAGAGGGTTCAAATTCTACAAAGAAGGAACAGATAGAATAGTAAATATGCAAAGAAATATTTTAAGAACAATTTGTAAAACTAACCAAAGACTGAAATCCTTAGAACACACATTGGAAAGGGAAATTTGAGGGTTGTCAGGATTTTTTTTTAAATTCTATACCTAGACGCATGATAATGTAATTTTGATACATTAAAAAGAAAAGAATCGTAGATCATAGATCTTCCAGAGAGTGTAGATTTTTTTTTAAGATTTTATTTATTTATTTATTTGAGAGAGCATGAGCAAGGGGAGAGGCAGACTCCCTGCTGAGCAGGGAGCCCTGATGCAGGGCTCGATCCTAGGACCCTGTGATCATGACCTGAGCTGAAGGCAGACATTCAACTGATTGAGCTACCAAGGGGCCCTGAGAGTGTAGATTCTTTAGAAAGAATGAGAACAAGATTGTCATCACTCTTCTCTTAACACTAAGGAAGATAGTGAAGCAATATAGATCCTCAAAATAGGAGAAATGATTTAGAATTGTATGCCCAGATAAGCCACTGTTTCAGTTTGGGTGTGAAAGAAACTTAGACATGACTACTAAAAATTTACTCTGCTCAAATTACTAGATGTTAGAATCCAGAAAAGAAATAATAAGATGTAAGAAGTCATGATAATTTCAGAAGTAAACCAACCTCAACTTTTCTTGATAGAGGGAGATTGAACTAGACCACTTGCCATCTCCTTTATTCTTCCCATGGAACCAGAGTTCACCTGTTTCCTCTCTTGAAGCTAGCACAGGACAGATTAAAACCCAACTAACATCTGGCTCATTCCTGAAGTTTTGAGTTGGATAACTTGGAGAATAATGGCTGTGCCCTTAATAGAAAAAGAGACACAAAGAGGAAGAGCTGGCTAGGGAAACAGACAGTGTTGGAAATTTTAGATTAAGGACTTACTACAATGTAGTAGGCAAATGTCCAAAAATTACTTTATTATTTATAATTTATACTCTGAGTATTTTAGAAAGTATTACAATTTCTATTGTAAGAGCAGGGCTCTATTCCCACTTCCTGGCACAGTGCCTTTTACATAGGTATCCAGTAAATATTTGTTAAATATTTGTTAAATAAATGGAGACCGTTTACATCAAAACAAGCAGAAATTGAACTAGAGGTCCCTGATAAAATGGTTGAAGAGGATTAGTGTTTATTCATGTGAGGTTCTTGGACTGTCTGCATTAGGGTTAATAGAAACGCTTGCTTAAATGCAGATTAATTGGGCCATGCCCCAGATACAATGAATCAAAAATCCTTGGGTGTATGTTTCAGGAATCTGAATTTTAATAAGTGCCTCCGGTGATTTTTAAGCATGTTCAAGTTAAAAGGAATTAGCCCTACAGAGGCCAGGGAAAACAAGAACAGATGAAGCATAAAGCCCAGAAAAAGTACAGATCTCCCTCAATTTAAGATGGAGTTACATCCTGATAAACCCACTGTAAATTGAAAATAGTGTGATTTGAAAGGCATTTAATCCACCTAACCTACTGAACACGATAGCTTAGCCTAGCCAAGCCTACCTTAACGTGTTTAGAATGCTTACATTAGCCTACAGTTGGGCAAAATCATCTAACATAAAGCCTATTTTCCAGTAAAGTGTTGAATATCTCATGTAATTTATTGACTACTGTACTGAAAATGAAAATCGGAATGGTTGTATGGGCACAGAGGTTATCAGTGCATCGGCTGTTGGCCTTCATGATCCCATGGCTGACTGGGAACTGAAGCTGCTGCTGTGGCTCAGCATCACCAGAGAGTGTGGTACCACATATTGCTAGCCCAGGAAAAGATCAAAATGCAAAATTCCAAGTACAGTTTCTATTGAATGTGTAGCATTCTCACACCATCATAATTCCAAAAATCGTAAGTCAAACCATCATAAATTGGGGACTGTATGTCTTTAGGAGACAGTACTTTTTAACATTTTAATGTCACTCACAGTTAGAAAATATTTGCAAAGCACCTTGGGTACAAGAAGGAAAGACTGATGAAAGACAGAAGTAACCAGCGCCAGGGGCTTTGGCTGGCTCAGGCCCCAACTGGCTGCTTCAAGGTTGACACACCAGTTATCTATCTGTGACACTCAGGAAGCTCTGTCAAGGGTGAGAAGGAAATGAGAAGGAAAATGAACAGTGAAAGGAGAATTTAAAGGAGGCATTTATCAAACAAGGCTCTGAACAGTACATTGCTCCAAAGTTAGAGATGCTGAGTATTCAAGGAACAGGAATGACTTTGGGTTTCAGTAATTGGAAGGTTGAGGGAATCCTTGGAGTTGTAATGCAGAAGTGAAGGGAAGGAAAGGGGCATTTGTAAAATAAAGTGAATGTACTCCAAGGAAATAAAGGATACGAGTATAGATGACTAGTGGAAGATTTTAACTGCTAAAGGGAAGGAGACGGTAGCTCAAAGAGTGTCGGGAAATGGGTTTGGTGGGATGGGGAGTATAATAGATGTCTTACTTCGCTACATAAGAACAGAAAGTAGTTTTCATTGGTATGGATTTTGTAAGTTCTTACTTTTTTTTTTTAACTTTGTAATCATTTAGTATTCTAAGAAAGGATCTCAAAAGTCACCTTGAATTATAAGAAGAAATAATGGTTACAAATCAGGCCATTTAGTGCAGAGGGAATGCTGCCATTGAGGTGGATACTTCAGGAGCTGATGCTTTCAGGATCTCTTTTGGCTTGTTGTAAAATAGGTTTATGTTCTTTTTACTGTTTTAATCATCAGTCATAGAAATCCCATTCAGTGTTCTAGTGCCAGGTTAATCACAGGCTGTATTTTATAGCATTTCAATCTTCTAAGACTTTTATGCAGACTGAGAGGAACAGTTGGAAATTGCTTTAAATAATGTGACTTTAGGAATATATCTGTAGTAGGTGGAATAATTCCCCTTCTCCCAAAGATATCCATGTCCTAATCCCCTAATCCCCAGAATTTGTGAATATGTTAATTTACATGACAAGGAGGAATGAAGGTTACAGATGAAATTAAGATTATTAATCACCTTAAAATAAGAGATTAACCTGGAGTACCCAGGTAGGCTCAATTTAATCACAACGGTCCTTTAAATGTGGAAGAGTCAGAGATTTGAAGATGCTATGCTGCTGGCTTTGAAAATGGAAAAAAAGGGGGGGGGGGGGTCACAAGCCAAGGAATATGGGCAGTCTCTAGAAGCTTGAAAAAAGGCAAGGAAGAAACAGATTTCCCCCACAGCCTCCAGAATGAACCAGCCCTGCCAACGCCTTGATTGTAGCCCAGTGATATCCATTCTGGGCTTCTGACCCCCTGAACTGTAAAAGTGTAAATTTGTTGTTTTAAATCACTAAATTTATGGCAATTTCTTACATTAGCTAAATTAATATCCAAGGTTTATAATCTTAATTTTAAAACATATGTCTCATTTCTCTGTCAGACTATAAGTTCCTCTAGACCAGTAATCAGCTTCTGTGCCTGCCACACAGTATACGTGATAAATGTTTATTGAATTTGAACCATTCTATATATCAGATGATCTCTCCATCATTTTTGGGGAGAGTTGCTTACCATTCTTAAAGTCTCTACTCACCTGGGTACATGCTACATAGAGAAGCAGCTGCATTGCAATCGGTACCTGCAGTTCTGAACCTCTTCCTTAGTGACTTTTGATTGGAGAAGGGGTACTCATTTAAACCAGTTGGTTTTCTCTGGCTCAAGTGTTTTAACACATGAGACTTATATCTTCTAATCAACAGTTTCATGGGCTTCTTGTGCCTTAGTTTCAACTGCTCTAGAGTAAGACTACCTGTCTGAGAAACCCCATCCTCCTGAGGTTTATAGAAGCTTATATTTTAATTTGTACCATCCCAAACAGTCTCAAAATTTGGTGAAAATCTAAAAAAAATTTCTCACAATGCTGAAACAGACCTACAGATAAACTACTGATTTTTAAAGATTTGCATTCATTTCCCTCCCAGTCTTTAGATAAAAAACCAGTAAAATTGAAGACTTAGAATGGAAACGGTTTTAGATGTGTTATGCACTGTTCCTTGGGATGTAATATGTATTAGTAATCTATTGCTGCTGTAATTTAGTAGCTTAAAACAACAAACATTTATTATATAATTTCTATTGGTTAGAAATCCAGGAGCAGCTTACCTAGGTGGTTGTGACTCAGGGTTTCTTAGGAGGCTGCATCAAGTTGTGAGTCAAGGCTGCAGTTATCTCAAGGCTTGACTGGATAGAGAATTTACTTCCAAGTTCTTTCACATGGTTGTTGACTGGTCTCAAAAATCTGCTTCTAAAGAGCTGACTTACATAGGCCTCACCAGGCTGCCTAATAGCATAGCAGCTGCTTGCCCCAGAGTGAGTCATCTTGCTAAGACAATGCCCAAGCAGAAGACACATTCTATTAGAGACAAGTCAGTAAATCCAGCCCATCCTTAAGGGAGGGGGATCATTGGGGGCCATCTTAGAAGCTGGCTACCACACATATAAATTAGTGAGTTCATTAGTTTACCAGAGACTAGATAATCATGTTTATAATATTCCTAACTGAAATTAAATTTAATAATATCAAACATTTTGAGGAAACCGCAAATAAATTTCTCATATTAGATATAAAATAAAAATGGAAGCCTTTTAACTTTCACAGGGTAAATTCAGAAGGTACATTAAAATAACAGAATTTACTTTTTTTAACCATACTTCCCTCAGATTGTCTAATTCTGACTTCCTATTCCAACTTGTCCCTTCATTTTAAAAATTGTACTTCCCGTAATCTCCTAAAAACAATTGAAAGCAGCTTATAGAAATATGTAAAATGTTATAAGAATTGAAATTAAAGATGAAAGACAGAGAAAACTCAGAAATAAAACTACTACACAAAGGTCATAGTCTGGTGAAAACTGAAGACCTAACAAAGATCCATAGCTATGTGGCTGAATAAGTTGATGTTAAGAAAATGAAAAGGCAAGACCAAGACTAGGAAAAGAATACTTACAAGACAAATATCTGATCAAAGTCTTATGTCTACAATATATAAAGAAACTCTTATAAGTCCATAACAATAAGACAAACAACCTGGTTTTTTAAAATAGGGAAAAAATTTGAATACATATTTTATCAAAGAAGATCTATGAATGACATACAAAATATGAGATACTATTACACCACCACTCAAATGGCTAAAATTAAAAAGACTGACAATACCAACTATCAGTAAGAATGTAGCACAACTAGAACTCTTAGTTCACATTTTTTATAAAGTTAATCATATAATCCCACTCCTCGTTATTTTACACAAGAGAAATGACACAAATAAAAAATACAGTGCTCCTATTCCATAAATGAGTTAAAAAAAATAAATAAGCTAGCATTCTTTATTGGTTCTTACTAGAATTTATATTTTTGACTACCTAAAATGACCTCTACCTGGTAGCAGTATTTTTCAGTCCTTTTTTTTTTTTTTTTTTTTTGCCATTTCCCTTACTGCTGGCTTAAGCTACCTGAGATGTGTTACTTTGTATTTGTCATTTTTATACAGTAAGGGATAAATAGAGGTTTATTTTTATTATACATAGATTAATTATAGTAGATAGCAAATGGAACAGTTTTTGTATTCATGAATAATGGGTCTTTGTGAGATAATTCCATTCACCTAAACTCTTCTTTTGTCTCTTTAACAAGCATATCAACCCAAAATAATTCTTTGTAGTATTTAGCTGCCTACTTATTATTTAAATTCCAACCCTTACACTTAGATGATTATATGTATTTTCAACAGTGATTCTTTTATTGCACACCGAGAAAGTATGCGACAGATGATGAGAAGTTTTTCTGAACCTTTTGGAAGAGACTTGCTCAGCATCTCTGATGGTAGAGGAAGAGCTCATAATCATATGAGACATGATGATGGCGAAAATTCCTTGACTGTAAGTTCTTTATTTTAAGTTAGTGAGAAGGTTCTATAGAATTTGAAGAAAATTATTACAGAAGAATATATCTATGATGTTAGGATATGAATAATGCTTATGTTATAGAAATAACTATTATATAAAAAGGTGGACTTGTTGGAAAGCTGAATCCTTTAACAATGAATTGTTAGCTGTATGAAATTCCACTGCACTACCAAAACTTTAGGACCATAGAGTTATATATTATAAGCCAAACTTAAAGCATTATTTTTCATAAGTGTCTATAGTTTGTTCTGCATGGCTACCTTGGGGGGCCGTCAAAACTTAAATTAACTTTTAACTGTATTTAAATCCTTGCATAACTACAAAATATTTTCATAAGTTTTATCTGAGAGGAAACCTAGGAGGTTACAAACATATTCAACTAAAAAAAAATCCAGGATGCTAATATATCTTATTTTCTTCTCTTTTCATTTTATTTCTATTGCTTTTTCAAACTCAGGAATGGCAGTTCTAGAATAAAAATCCACAGGAGTTTCTGGTTTTGTTTTCTCTTAATTAGTTAATTAATTTTTGCTATTACCTAAGTCTTAGGTACTTAGACATAAATATGTCATATGTATCGCAACCTAGGGAAGAAAAGGTGAGCCATATCTCGCCAGTATAAATTATAAATATAGAGGGAAAAAATAAGTTTTGGCTAAAAGAGAGGCTGAATATTTCAAATACTCCTAAGAAGTTTGATGGATAAAATTAGATTTACCATATAAATGAAATTTTCACATTCTTTTTCTTATTATTCCAACATGTATTACTCATATTCCAATTGTTTTCTTTCAATTAGTGAATAGTGGTATTTTTATATATATATTTTTTTTACATCTGGGGCTATCAATTTCCAAAGTCTAAAATTAAGATCTAAGGAAAAATTATCAAGGAGGGCAGAAATATCACTTATAAAGACATTCTGAAATTTTATCTTTCACATGAGCATTGAAATATTTTGTCTATCTGCTATAACCATAGCAAGGCAGAAGTAAGACTGTATATAGTACTTTGTATTTATGTGCATAAATGAGCTACTTGTAGCTTTTGTGGAAGAAGGAAGAAGTGACGGTTTTATTCCCAGTGGAAAAAGAGACATTAGGGGCGCCTGGGTGGCTCAGTCATTAAGTGTCTGCCTTCGGCTCAGGTCATGATCCCAGGGTCCTGGGATCGAGCCCCACATCGGGCTCCCTGCTCTGTGGGAAGCCTGCTTCTCCCTCTCCCGCTCCCCCTGCTTGTGTTCCCTCTCTCACTGTCTCTCTCTGTGTCAAATAAATAAAATCTTTAAAAAAAAAAAAAAGACATTATATCATATCAGCTATCTTAGAATGCTAACACCAATGCACTTTTTTCTTGTTCAAGCTGTATGAAAACACTTTGCCAGCCAAGAGTACTGAGTATTGTCCTAGGGCAGTAATAATTTTTAAAATATAGATTTACAACAGAGTTACAGCAGATTTTCCAAGGAACATTCAGCCTCTCCTTTAGCCAAAACTCATTTTATAATTTATACTAAGGTAATAGCAAAAATAAATAAACAAAAACAAACAATAGCAACAAAAGACCTCTATGCCAACTTGAACTTTTCTAAGTCAGTGTTTTATAACTAGATGTGAAAGTAGGAACAGAAATTTGAAATTGACTGCAGAAGATGGGAAAGGCTGCTGCTATTTGAAAAGAACACAGCCAAGAGAACAACCGGCTTTTTTGAGCATGCTGCTGTTCTAGTCCATTTAAACTAATAAAAATTCATAGAAAGCTTCTTTCTCCCTCTAGTGAAGCTGTAAAGTTTTCTTAAATATTTTAAAGATTTTTCTTATTTGAGAGAGTGCGCATGAGTGTGGGGAGGGGCAGAGGGAAAGGGAGAGAGAGAATCCTAAGCAGACTCAGTGTGGAGCCTGGTGCTGAGCACGGGACTGGATCCCGGGACCCTGAGATCATGACCTGAGTGGAAATGAAGAGGCTGAAATGAAAGAGTCCGAAGCTTAACCGACTGAACCACCTAGGTGCCCTAAGCTACAAGTTTTTAAATGAGTGTTTTGATTAAGCAGTGAGCCATTATGCTGTTGTCTTTAAGCATAGTGGATGAAAATCTGTATTTCAGATAGACATCTTGATAATTTTTTCTTTATTTTTGGCCCATTACTTGACATTTGTCTTTTTTGGTGGGGGGGAGGGAGAGAGAGAATCTTAAGCAGGCTCCATACCCAGCGCACAGCCTGATTCTGGGCTTGATCTCATGACCCTGAGACTGTGACCTAAGCTGAAACCAACAGTCAGATGCTTAACCAACTGAGCCACCCAGGCCCTCTCTGACATTTGTCATCTTTGTCAGCCATTTTATGAAGGAAAACAAAGACTCCTACAAAAGTAGGGGAAGCATCAGCTATGATATTTTCTTGTTTATATTAGCATTTTCTTCAGTTCACGATTTCTTTATGGGGATATTTTTAAGCCACTTGTCCATTTTGAGAGGATTAGTTTGTTTAAAACTAGATTTTTTTTTAATTTTTAAATTTTTTAGATTTTACCTATTCATTTTAGAGTTAGAGCATGAGAGGGGGGAGGAGCAGAGGGAGGGGCAGAGGGAGAGGGACAAGTAGACTACGCACTGAGTGCTGACCCCATCTTGGGGTTTGATACCATGACCCTGAGATCATGTCCCCAACTGAAATCAAGACTCCGCTGCCCAACCAACTGGGCCACCCAGATGCCCCTAAAACTAGATAATTTAATCTGTAAATATATTAAGCAGTTTATAATTCAAGGTATGACATGGAACCATCTAATATTTAGATTGAGTGATGGCACCAGAGTCAATCTACAATGTTTTTATTTTCAGTGAAAAGAAATAGAGAAATTGTATTGATGCGTCCAATACACTTTGGAGATTACTATTCTAACTATGTAGTATAAATATATATCATCTGATATAATTTATTATAAAATTTAATATAAATACACAGTTTTTTCTATTTTTCAACAAAATTTACACAAGGAGAAAATTATTACTGAATGATGGTAAAATTTCACATATACCATTTACCCAAAAATTTAATTTTCAATATTTGAAACTTCCAAGTAATGAAAGTTTTTAATTTGTATATATGTCTGTCTAAAATTTTATTTTTACTTATCTGTACCTACTGAGGAATACAATTTGTGAACTATTAGCTAATTCTATAACATTCTTTTGCCTATCAAAGACCCTACAGGGGCGCCTGGGTGGCTCAGTCGTTAAGCGTCTGCCTTCTGCTCAGGTCATGATCCCAGGGTCCTGGGAT